ACACCTGAGCCTACCATCAAAGCCTTTCTCATGGACAAGATTGGCTGTTCTGCTTTAGTGACCTTTCATAGAACCTCCGTGTTTCCATATTTCGCCCGCTACAGATTAGAAGGCAACCACAATGTATCATATCCATTACATTATATTGTACCATAGAGGTCAAAGAAGAGATGGGAGCTGAAAAACTACTCGGTACAAACTTTCTTGGATGAGATATAGCGAGTAGGAGTTCCAATTACCGCGGAATATGCACTATAGAAGCAAAAAATACAATACTTCAGTCCACCGTCCGTAATGGACTCTATAGATAAGCCACAGTTTTCGGCTGAACGAATGTCCAAATCAGGACCCGCAACGGGCTTGCCATTTAGATGCAACAGCAGAAAAGTTGAACGAGCCATGTAATTAAACTGGCAATGGAGAACGACAAGGCCAACCATGCTGTGATAAACATCTTTACTCCAAGGTTGACTTGGACACCATAGGTCTGCAAATTTTTCTTGGCGACGGAAACAAATAGCCCATACAGCACCGTGACCAAGATTGTGGCGGTCGTAATGAGCATCGATGAAAGCTTAATTTGTCAGCATCTTTCTTCTATATTCTCCAGGGTATCACATACCGTGCAAGATATGGCAAGTAACCTGCTACCATTGGAAAAGAAAAATTTGCGACCAGCCAAGATTATTGTCAATGTGGTTGCGACAAACCCGGAAATATACAAACGAATCGCACTCAGGGAAAGTTGACGGTAGCCGGAAATCAAACTTTGGTCTATTTCTGGAAGTATGTCGCTGACTTTTATTGGCGTAGAGTTAAGCACGGCAGATAGATCGAAAGAAAAAGATGTGCTGGGGTCGGAGCACACCATCTCCGAGCCATCATAGGATTTACAGTAGCTCCAGAGGCCAACAAAATAGTATCGAGGCAGGTGTGACTTCAATTCGTGTACCTGGGCTTGAATCATGCTGCTGGCTGCCGACGTTGCCTCATGGATTGCTTCATTTGCGCTAGTATCAACGCTAGACGCCACGCCTTCGACGGCATTTCTTCCCCCACTCTCGATATGCGCATTTTTAATATTGAATGAGTTCCGAATTTGCAAATCATGAAGCTTTGGAAAGTCTTTCAGGTCTACCTGCCGATTGCTTAGCGAATTGGTTAGAATGGAAGTTTTTCGGGCGTATCTTACTTTTAAAAAGTGTAGGCCCCTCGGCGAGGAAGACGACGAACATCCAACAAAGATAAAAGATAGACAAACTAGAACCGCGACGGAAAATGACAATGCCGTGGATGAAACTAGCGAATCTAATCTGCTCTTGGTGGAAAGCTTCATGGCTCACAAGCGAGAAGCGAATGGGTATCTTAACCGATTATGACCTTGACATCCGGGTAACATCTGAGAACCATGTTGCATCGCAATGCAAGGAAGCTTTTATATAAAAGTTTAAGATATGGTCAGCTTAGTCCGTGTGGACAGTGTTCGGCAAACCAGATAACTGAGGCCGGCGCAATTTTCCAACTCACCCCATGGGCAGTGGATATATGTGGCAGATAATCTACCAGCAGGAATTTGCATCCCATAATGGATAGCTGTAGTGAAGCGCAGGCAGATAATTGACTGCATTGACCGCTAGAATAAAGGGGCATGCAATTTGAAGTGATAGATCGTCGAATTCTGATCTTTGGCTCACAATTCTTCTCAAAAAGGTTCAATAATAAAGCTGGTATAAATACTACTGTATGGAGTCTTCCCTCGACACATTGTTCTCGCGTCATTCTATACACCTGCTCATCTGGAACTCACATGTGACTTGTACTGGCTCCCATCATGTCACCTTCCAGGCAAGCAGAAGTTGAACATTGGGAGCGAAAGTTATACGACTATAAAGAACGCCATTTCGAGCTATCTGCTAGAGTGCATATTTCTCATCTCGTCTTCGAAACCGGTTTCAGAAGACAGATGGACGGCCGGCAGAACATCCGCCGATTGAAACAAATGATGAAGATTCAAGGGTGCCAACGCTTGATGCGGGACAACCATGTACCAGTGATAGTTCCCAGGGCTCATTGGCAAGATCGCGTACGTCCGCGATCTGGCAGTGGAGTCATGTCTAGCTTGGAGATGGGGTTAGATTACCGGTTGTGCGCGTACGATCACGAAAATCTCATCACGGCTGCCAAGCATGTCCTCGACTACGACAACCAGTGGTGGATTGTAGACGTGTATCTAACAGACAATGACGAAGGTGCATTTTTTTCACCTCTAGCTCTCTGAGATCCCCGTTGACAATTCTTAGCCTCGCCCGAGAACCACAGCAATGACGTGGAGTCTGTTCGTCAGAAATTTATTCAATCGTTGAAGGAGCGATACCCAAACGACAATCGTCCACCAGATGGACTGATCTACGAGCGAATCAACCGCTACGAGGGCTACCTCAACATGCCGAAGGATCCACTCGCTGCGAATAACTGGTGGGCTGTACTGGAGGCCCTCGCGGGAAGTAAGCGAAGTAAGAAAGGAAAGTATCTGAAGCAATTCTTCCAACATGAGACCTTACACCAGAAGTTAAATTCTTTGCTCGTTATTCCGGGTCTCTGGGAAGGCATGCGGATTGGATTACTTCATAAAGTGACAGCCATGCATTGCGACGAGGTGAGTTACTCGGCAGCCCAAAGCTAATCGAACTCGTATCAGCTAACATGGTTGCAATTCTAGCCAATCGCATGCTACTGGGAATTGATCTACAGGACTTTTTCGAGATTGGTCGGAGGAAGAGACGAGCTTTTACCCCTGATTGACGGAATCACAGTCGACCTGGTTCAATCTCGCGTTCCTAAGGTCTCCAGCAAAGATTTGAAGTCCTTGCGAGTCGACTTAGAGGAGGGCAGGCTTTTTTCGAACTTCTCGGAAGCAGCTCGAGGGGAGATATGGGCGCGTTTGGGAGAGATTGATTATCCAATTCCGACCTTGAAGACATTTTTCAAGGACCGACTCTATCTCGAGGTCGCCCACAG